CCCTTTGTGAAGGACATTTAATATTGTTTGAGTTAAGTTTTGTTTTTACACTGCCCCCCTCCTGGTTGTTTAAGTGAACTGAGTAGTATGAGCATGTGAGGTGTTAATTACCTTCAGACCAGCAGTTTCTTCACCTCCTGCAAAATGATCTTCCACTTTGTTGCCTTGGACACTAATTGTCCGTAAGTATTTATTATTTTGTGTTCTTTGGTGTGCAGAGGCAGAATGTAAGTTTTTAAGTTGTGTCTTTAGACGATTGGATTTTAATAAATTGATAGTTAGCAGAGCAGTAAGCTAGCAGCATGACTAAGCATGTTAGGTTAGCTAATTGTTTCTTGTGCCCTATTTTCTGTTTGTTAGTCTCTAATGTACTTTTTGCAATTTGTGCTTTATTGCAGTTTTACAAGAAAGAAAGAAAGTCAATAAGAACGGAAATACAGTGAATTCTTCAATAAATAACGAGAAAAGTTACGCCTTGTAATTCTTTGGAGGACTTACACTTGTTAGCTAACTGTTTAGCTCTGAAGATAAACAACTCATTGCGAGGTCAGTATAAGTCCTGACCAAAGAGCTGGAGTATCTTCCATTTTCATGGGAACGGCCATCTCCACATTCTGCTCTTGTGTGTTTAATATAGTTTGCAGACTATACCTCAGACACTGCAGGCAACAAGAGACGGAGTGAAAAAGCAGACAACACAATGCATACTTGGCTGCAAAGAAAGCACAAAACCAAACCCTGTGGTGATACAGTGACAATGTCTACGGCCTGATTACAGTCCGGGCCTGCCAGCAGGGTTTGTTAGTTTGTTAAGACTGGAATTACAGGCACGGAGAGCGATATTCTTCTGCAGTGTATACGGCATGGGTGACTTTAGGTGGAGCTTCCGTTTTCTTCTCTATAAAACACTCCCTGCTGACTGACACATCAGGGATGTCTGAGAAAGGTCATCTAATCCATGGGACAGAGGAGCAGATCATCCAGAGTGATGGTACTCCGCCCACACACACACACACTAACACAGATACTTGCCAAGAAATATGTCCAAGTTACTGTCAAACATTCAGAGCTGGTTTCCAAGTACATAATGTCATCAACTTTGTGTAGAATACTCCTGATGTGGAAGGCCTTATTTAAGTCATCCAAGCTTTTAGGATCTTCAGATGTTGGCATCTTTGTGTTTAAACTTGGAAACACATTGTTTTCACTTCTGAGACGTTTACCTTTCACTCACTTGGACAGAGAGTTGAACAATGAGGCGTCCATTTTCAACAGAATAACTGTATATATGTATGTGAACGGTGTGAAGCTGCATCTTCTCAGGGAATCAAAAAGAGTTACACTAATGGTACTGGAAACCGTTTAGATTTATGCAGAGGAGATACCTGCACAGGTGGATGCAACAATAGTCTCTTTTATTAAGACATGAGCGGTCAAAGGTATCGGTGCTACAGTGCGAAAAAAGGTGATTAAAAAACAAGTTAGAAATGAGTGAAAAGCTCCTTTCAGGTAGCTGGACAGTGAGAGGGTCTACACCGTCCAGTTTTTTGTAACTTTCCAAAATCTGACCATAAAACCAACAGCCACGTCCGCTGTTCACGGGGACCTGCCAGGTGCCCGTAGGTTTAGAAATGGGCAGGAGGCTGCATTCCTTCATTCTTCTTCTTTTTTTCTTCCTTTTCACGGCTTAATCCGAACCGTTTTTAATCCTGATTGATGGAGATCATTAGTGCTCTCAGAGAAAAGAAAAGCTGCTGCAGGAGCGATATCAGAATCTGCAACAAGTGAGACCTACACTCAGAACTTTATTAAAGATTTCTTTTTGGGCTTTTTGTGCCTTTAATGGAGAGACAGGACAGTGGATAGAGCTGGAAATCAGGGAGAGAGAGAGAGGGGAATGACATGCGGGAAAGAAGCCGCAGGTGGGATTTCAACCTGGGCCGCCCACGTTGAGGACTACAGCCTCCATACATGGGACGCACGCACTAACCACTGCGTCACCAGCGCCCCTCGACTTTTTTTTTTTAATATCCTGTCACTTTAGCCCCGTTTCCAACAAGTGGTCCGGTTCAGTTCTGTTCGGTGCAGTAGCCATTTATTGGCGTTTCCACCGTCCAAAGTTGGGAAATGGTCCCAAAATAAGGGATCCTTACCGCCCTACTTTTTTGGTGCCCTTCTGTTGGGCACTGTTGGGATCTGACTCTAAAGTAAATGGTAAATGGACTACTCAAAGCGCTTTTACACCGCATGTCACACCCACCCATTCACATCCTTTCACACACTGATGGTAGTGATCACTGATGTAGTATCATCCATCAGAAGTAACTAATCTCATTCATACACCACTACCAGCTGATCCACAAAAGGCTCCCTTAAACTGTGTCCCGTTCTTCTTCTTCGTTGAACTTAATTAATATCGGGCTACACTGTGTTGGGCTGCTATGATGTCACACTGTTACATAGCTGACGTGGCTATCTCCATCTGGCTGACACTCCCCTTAGTAAATAAAGGTTGGCTGTGGAAACGCAAGCAAGACCAGGGTTTACTGCACCGGACTGAACCCAACCAAACCGGACAGCGACCAGTGTCTTAGCTCACCTGAAGTAGACTCTCTCAAACTCAACAGAATTGCTCTCCTTGAGGTGCTCGCTAACACGTCATCTGACCTCATTTAAAGGGTGAAAAACGATGCCCAACCAGCTGCCAGGGACGCAACATGAGTCTACCGAGTGATTAAAGTCATTAAAGCCATTTGCTTCACTTTTCACAACCACACTCTCTAACGACAGAGGGGTTTAAAGAATCAGTCGACTGAGAACTTGATGGGGGAAAATGACTCATCTAGTTGATATAACACACTATTAACACATCATTTAACGGGTGTCAGGCTGCATTGTTTCTGACGTTATTACTCGATTACTGATGGACGTAAGTGTTAAAACGAAACAGCCTCTTGGAATAAAAACACACCTGAGTTTTCAATCATGATGCTTAATGTGCTGTGTGTTGGGTCAGGATCAGAGCACTCACAAAGCGAGCTGGACTTTGAGGGTGAAGTCGGCTTCAGCACGACATGGATTGCCTGGTACACTGACTTTTGTCGGCTCTTCATCGTTTTTGGTTACTTTACTTATTTTTATGCACTTTATTTCCAAATTCCACACGCTCGAGAGATTAACTGGATTTAGTGTGTGCATCCTAATGCGCTGACCCTCTCTCGCCTGGTGCTCTAATCCCTCCCAGGTGTTCTGAAAAGGCTTTTTATAAGCAAAACATTTTAAAAGTAAACTGTGGCTACTGTGTCGGTCCAGAGACCAGAGGATAAAACAGGCCTGTGGAGACTGAAGGCGGCTGTTGTTCCCTGATAGCAGACTGCCTCACCCCGAGTAAAATGCTTCATTAAAAAAGTACGTTTCCAGACTTAACTTATGAGGCAAGCCCTACAGCTCTCCTGACACCAACACGGGAGATTTAAAAACACAAACACCCACACACCCACACACCACACACTCATGTCTACACTTAGGTTGTTGTCTGCAGGTTTTTACAAGATGCCCCGCGAGCGTGAAAAGAGCTGTGTTTAACTGAAATGATTTCAGGGCAATTTAGAGCAATTTACCCACAGCAACATGCTAACAGGGGACGGGATTCAAACAGCTCAATAAAACTGTGGGAGTGTGTGTGCGTGTGTGTGTGTGTGGGGGGGGGTTAAGAAGCACAAACCCACTGTATAGGCCTACATGTACATTATATAGGTTGTCCCAACAGCTGCTTCAACAGGTTGTTCTTGGCTCTGCTCCATGTGCCGTCAATTACAAACAGCTTTACAACACGCACCTCCGCTCCTCGAGCCTAATTTCTTGTTTACCATTAAAATCAAACCATAATTGATTTCCTACACATTTTCATTTATGATCCATTCACGCCTTAAAACAGAGTGTCTATAGCAGTGGTTCCCAAAGTGGGACACTGGGAGGGGGGTCGCGAGTTGCCTTCCAAAAACAAAGGCAAACTGGAAATGACTTGAAATGACATATTTGACCTGTTATTGTGAAATTACATACAAAAATGTTCAATTAGTTTAAGGCTGCTGCTGTATTTTTTATTTTTTATTTTTTTATTTCATTTTTTTTATTTGTTCCGTACATGTCAAAACACACAACAGAAAAGGAAAAGGAAAAAAAAAGCTATTCACACTTTATCCCATGTACGGAAAGGAGCAGGGAGAAGAATACATCTTGTTTTGCCTTCCCCCCCTTACTCAAAAAGCAAACAATAAATGTCTGGATGGTCTGTCCAATTACAATCAATGAATGAATATCAACATAAAACAAATCTGACAATTCAGTCTTCACTTCCTCAGAAATAAGAAGGAAAACACACAAAATACACTAACTGCCACTTTCATACAGTCTGATAACTTTGTTCTTTTCTTAAACTGAAATATCTGAACACTACCCTTCAAATCAATATTTAAAGAATTCCACAATTTAATTCCAATGACAGAAATACATTTCGTACAGCTATAGGATAAACTGTCAGGTCTAAATGAGGACAAAGTGAAAGCATCAAAGAGTCGCAGCCAATTGGGTTAGTTATTCCTCCTCCTGCCGACTTTTGACTTTTTACAGCCTGACGTGTGGATGTAAAAGAGCAAACACCATGAAACAAACAGTGACAAACCGCAGACACTTCTTTTAAGTGAGGAGCTGCACTATCATATAATTTAATGGTCCGACATATGGAAGTGCAGCAGTGCAGGGAGACGCAGGCATTGTGACCCGCATTTCCTCCCGTATAGCCTAAATTACAACCTTTAAATCTCTGTTTCTACAGTAAGAACTATATCATATGTAGTATCTAGGCTATGTGAGGAAACAATAAAACATGTCGTACAGTATAGGCTTATCCATCACAGTGGGGTTAATAAGTTCGGGGCGAGTTCTCAGAACAGCATAATGGATTTTTTTATTCTTATTATTTGATTATCTTTGCTTACCTGGAGGAATGGGCGCGGGAGTTTGAGGTGTTTCGGTGGAGGAGAGAGAAGTCGCAAACTTCATCCAGCAGGAAAACACAAAACAAAACTTGAGGTACTCCATAGCTGTGTTCAGTGCGTGTTCCCGGACGGACTGCGGGTGACCGGCTGGATTAATGGGGCTGGATTGCCTCCCCTGCAGGAAGCAGTGGTGAGCCCCGGAGGGTCTTAATGTTCCCTCTAGCGACAAAAGAAAAAGGGAGTAAAAGTCATACACTGTATATGAAGTTGTCTTCTGGACGAGCAGCTCTTCAGGGAACGGATTTCAAAAAAGTAGTCAAAGTTAAAGAAGTAAATTAATTGAGCAACAGGCGTGGTGGTTCCTTTTGATTATCTCTGCAGCCTCTTGAAGTGGAGTGACAGAGACTCGGTGCAGGAGGAGAAGATAACGGTGTTCACCCCTGACACAGGGAGGTCCTGCGCGAAAGTGTTACACAGAACAGCTGTATTTAAACACCCCCCCTCCTCCCCTCTTCAACCCCCATGACTGTCAAACATCCCTCCTCTGGTCCCCTCCCCCTGAGCACCCAGCAGTCTGCAGGATCAACACTGCCCTCCTTCTCCACCCTGCTCAGAAGAGACTTTTCATTCAGCCTCCTTCCTATAAAGCAACAGAATCCCATTAATGGTGCCCTGATGTTTATTCAACTTTCTAAGTCTGTATTATAAACACTTTTTCCTCATTATTTTGAGTTTTTCCAGACTATCCTGCACACTCCACTTGTCCCTCTTTTAATGAACTAGCCTACTGTATACAGATTAAATTAAATAAAAATCATAAGGAAGAGCACATGAATAAATATTTGGTTCTCTTCCTGGAGTGTAAGTTCAGATACCACAAGGCAAAAAATCTTGTGTAACAATTATTCCCTGTATTTAAATTAAAAATAGAAGATTAGTTACTTTCTGTGTATTTTGATATAAGATTTATTTTACTGGTGTATAAATGTTAAATCTGCATTTTACTCATGTAGTTTGTTGAGTTAATGTAAGTGCACTATATCATTTTGAGTTGTTTAATTTATTGCAATATTTTTTTAAGGTGTATTTTCTTTATTTTAGAGACAGGGCAGCAGATAGAGTCAGAAACCGGGCAGAGAGAAAGAGAGTGGAAAACAACAGCCACAGGTCGGATACATACATCCAAAACATACCCAAAACAAAGGGACTTTCCACCATGGCGGCATGCTGCTGTGCTGGTGAACGTCTCAGTTTCAGTTCCATAGTCCGAAACTCTACTCCCCTCCTGACCAAAACCCTAAAAATCATATAGTTTACTAAAATGAAATCAAAAGAATTAGAGCTCAGAAATCCAAAATGTAACTCAAATTATCTGCCCAACTAATTATTTCAGCCGTACTGACTCATGTCCTCACCTCACCATCGACGATATATTAAAAAGTTGACTGATGCTGCAGATGTTTGTGCCGCTCCTGCTATTCTGCAGCACACACACACACACACACACACACACACACACACAAACTGTACTCACACACGGGGGAGCAATAAAGAGGGAAACAGACACCGCACATCAAACCCAGCTTCCATTTACTGTCTGATTTCATCTTCATCTCCGTGCAGCTCAGCTGACCTTGAAACCATTCTCTTTTTTGTTCTCATTTGTGTTTCTCATTCTTTATTAGACTTTACAGACTTCCCCCCCCCCCCCCATCCCCCATCCCCACCACCCCCGGCTAAAACTGTTCCTGTCTGGTGAACACTTTGCATGGCAGTTGCTATGGCTGCCCAGAGCCCAGATTGTTTTACTTAATGACATCACCGGGTTTTGGGGGGTTTTGAATGCAGAGGGAGGAGAAGCCGCACTTTTTAAAACAACTTTTTTTATGAGATAAATTACTTGGTTCCAGTGAGGCCCTGATAAACCCTAAAAATGTACAGCCATGCCAGAAAGCTCAGCGTATAATCCTCATCCTGGACCTCAGCCATGATGCTTTTTGCTTTAGTTCAGCGTGCAACCGATAAGTAAAGCACTGGGCAGACACATTTATGGAAATCAGTGTGTCATGAGGAAATTATCACTTTCTCTGTTATGAACACAAAAACAAATCCGACCAAATAAGGCCATCATCCCTCGGACCAAATGAGTTAAAACAACACAGCATGAACCGAGGTTTTCCATTTGTACGAGCCTTTAGGCATGTATCATTTCACAACTCAGATATCGAACAGGGTTTTTTTTTTTCCCTGTGGGTTGGTAGGATAACTCTCCGCAGCTGGAAAATGCAAGTGTGGTGGAGAACCTCATAGAGCGCCTTGGCAGTGTGCTGGATAGGGATTGGGATGTGTGTTGCTTTCGTTCACTGGCACAAGTCGGGACACCCACCGAAAAACATTTCGGAAAAGCCCAGCAGTGAGTCGTCGTCTGGATTTGATTACACCCCGACAAAACGTCCAGGAGTTATATGAGCTGCTTAATATTCCCGTTGGAGCGTTGTACTTGAAGATTTGATATACTGTAAAGCCCCAAAAAAAGACACACAAAGCCATCTTTGCTAAGTCAGGATTTGCAGGACTGGGACAAAGTTTTTAAGTTCTTGCGTTTGTGGTGTCACTGCTGACATTTTAATTTGGTATGCACGCGGCGTGGCTGAGAAAATTACGTTTAATTGCGCAAAAAATTGGCAGAGAGAGAAGCTTGGTGACTGCTGTGGTTAAGCAGGGGCAAGGATGGAGAAAGCTCATTGGAACAAGAAGGCATACCTCCGCATAATTATCCCCACTCTGCGTTTATCTACCTCGGTATCTGCAGACGGTAGCAGGCGTTTGGACATATAGCTAAACACATCTCATGGAGGTTAACAAGGGAGAACAGACTGTGTGGAAACCTTTAAAGCAGCACAGGTGGTGCTCTCTGGAGTTGGCATTTTCATTTGGGCTTATTTTAGGAGCCAAATAAAACACACACTCCTCCAGCCTGGGCAGCCCTTCTATTAAGACTAAACAGTGTTGCAGCCTCCTGATGACAGGAAGCCAGCCGCTATTTTGAGCACTGTTGAGGAGACAGCGGGTTTTAAAAGCACAGTTTAAATTGAATCAAGCCAAAAGAAGAAACATGATCCATTAGGCAGACAAGTAAAGAAGAGTCCAAATATTGAACCCAAAAACAAGAGGACAAAAAACAAATGAAATCATGGTTATGTCATTGGTGGTGTGTCACTTTTTTTTCTTCTTTTCTGTTTTGTTTTGTGTGGTTTTTTTTTTTATTTATTTAAATGTTTTTATGTGGGTTGCTTGTTTGTTGTTGCTTTATTTTTCTCTATTACTGAAAGAAAATGGGCAAACTAAGATATTAATATAACCATTTATTGTTTTGTATAACATTATAAAAAAAGAATAATGATGTAAGAAATGAACTATGTCTGGATAAATGAACTATGTTTGGATTGCCTAATAAACACAAAGTGCAAAAATAAAAAAAAGAGGAAAACAGAACTCAGAGTGAGAAAAGGGGACACACAAGTTTTTCCTTCCATTGATGCCAGTCCGCTGCTTTAGCTGTTGTCTGAACTCAATTTACGTAACTGTCAGTGGCTTGGACGCACCTTTGATTTCTCTCTACTTTTACTCTATTTTGGACGTAACCCTCTTCTTGTGGTGCAACCTGATGGTTTTGCAATTGCCCTGCTGGATCCCTCGGTTCCCTTAGCCCCGCTCTAGAACCCACAATCGCGCACCATGATTGTAAAAGAATGGGCTTTCCATTTTTATCCCCTGAACGCTTTGATCACTCCACAGCAAGCTTAATTACTAGTCCAGATCAATGGAAAAGGACAGCACTCCTTTTCTTCCAGTCAGCGGGTCTTCCTGAGAAACGAGCCTGACGTCATCCCCATGGCTCTGTTCTGTCTACGCTGGTCCCACTTATGAGGCCACAGGGCGCATCCATTGGCCCAGGGTGTGGTCTGCAGGGGCTGCTGGGAGGAAGGGGTTTCATCAGCACGCCGTTTAATCTAAGACTGAAGAACTTTAACAAGCACAGCGAGTACATTTTTAATGTCACCGTGGAGTCTGGCCACAAAAAGGGAAAGAGGTTGTTCATGGATTAATTAACTTGTATCGCGGGCGGTCTTTCATCTATTGTCTCCGACCTCGAGCCTGATCGCTTATAACGGTAAAGACGTGAGCAGCAAACTGTTTGAAAACGCAAAGCTCAAGATGTTAGCAATTTTTAAAACCAGTGTGATATTCAGCCGTATAAATTTGCATTTCTACTGGAGAGACTGGGTTTTTTTTTTTGGGCAATGTTCCTCCAAAATTATACATAACGAGCTCTTTTGCCAGCCTTTCATTTGAATGTCATCATTAGGCGGCCATGTGGAAACCACAAGGCTCCAGAGAACGTAGGTGGAGGAAGAGTAGGATTCAACATTAATTCCTGTCCTTGCCGGGCCACCTTCAAGAATACGTTTGTACACTCCACATATAGTTTGGAGAAAACGTACTCATTGTTTCATGGACTCCATTCGCAGGGTGACATATTAATGGATTTTTTTTTTTTAAACCAGACATTTCTTAGGACTCCCTGAGGGGAACTGCCCACATGGGGACACAAATAGACAAAAACACACTCTTAAGACTTTTTTCCATTTGCATTCACACGGGTGGTGGCAACACCAAAGTGACATGCGCCAGCTGGTGGTTGCAATAGCAATGGGACAAAACAACAACCACATAGAGGACGCCGTGGTCACAGCTGAATGTTTGTTGTGTGTCAGGGGTTTCAAGGACTCAAGGCCCTTCTTGTTTTGGGAGCGTACCCATTCAGAAGAAGGTTATAGCTGTAATTTCCACTGCAGGAACTTTTGGTTGGGAACTTCAGGAAGTACTTAGTGTGTCAGGGGACTACATTGCAAAAGAGTCTTCTAGAGGTGGTATATCCTGAAAGTATGGGGACTTAGGGTTTTATTCTGAGCATTTCTGATTTGGTTAAGTACTCAAAGCACACAGGAGACTCTTCAAATGTAAAAAAACAAATAAAAAAAATGTCCCATGGCGGAAATATTCAACAAATGAGCGTCACCTTTTAGTACCTTAAAGTCCTGAAGTCCCAGGGTTGAGGTCTGAGGTGTTTGATGACCCTGATGAAGGCCACAAGCCGAAACTCATCGGTCTAATTTGTTAGTAAAGTTGATCTTCATCTCACTCTTCATGCACCTTGGTGGTTGGTGAAGTTGTGCCACAAAAATGCCGCTCTGCTTCTTCTTCAGTGTTTTGTACAGTTCAAAGCTCAGGACTTTGACTCTGTAATCTGGGTCGGGTCGTGTGTTCCACATGTGGTTGGCAGCAGATTTCAATACAATGGTTTAGTTAAGTCTTTGTTTACATTTTATGAAATGTTAGTGTCCTGTCTGAGCATCATTTTGAACTGACAATGTTGGTGAAGTCTCAAATGTCTCCAGTCTATGATTTACTGTCATGAATCCAAGTATAAAAATAAATGTCCATCCCCGCTTTTTTTAATTTTACATCTGCGCTTCCCTCCCCCCCCCCCAATTGTGTGTTTAGGGTAGTTTTCCTAGCCTGCGTTTGCACAGATGTTGCTTCGGTCATTCGTTTGTTCAGTGGGTTTTAAAACACAGATACCAGAAATTCCAGATACTGTGTACTGTTTCTAGGCTCTGTTTTGTCCTTGTGGTGTTGTGTTGAGCTCCAAATTGAATCACCAAACATGCCTGGCTAGTTGCCCCAAGTGACTGACTGACATGTTCTGCTTTAATCCCAGGAGCAACAAGTTGATTGCTTAGACTTCAAATTCACTCCAGTAATCATTAGTGTCATGCCTTACACAAAATGACAACTTATTTTATGAGCTGCAAAGCTGAGATATGTGTTTAATTACAAGGGGAGTCAATGAAAAAGGATGTTGGACTACAAAAAATACTCCCACATACTTGCTGGAGATGAAGAAAACATGTGTCGTTCCCAGTCCATGAAATCTCTGCCAAAAAATCACTGCAGGAATTACATGGGTGACATCACTTGTGTGTGGTCTGGATGATTAATTGTTACCAAATGTGATGCAATCTGATTGCAGAATTTCCAGCGAAACCAGAAATGAACAATGCAATGGTACAGGAAACCCCTCTGAGAGGAGGATTTCATGGGAAGTCTCAACAGTCCGCTCAAGAAGGAACACAGCAGTGATAAACAGCTGTCGCAGTCCACAGCTGTGTCTGCTAGTGGGAGGGAAGTGTCCTGTAAAGCTAATAGATATGTAAGGGTCATTGGGAGGTCAAAGGTGAGAGTTGAACACTTAAGGTAACAACCAAGCACAAAAAACAACAGCAATAAATGTCAGAGTATACAGCACTGAAAGAAAAGATACAGAGGACCCAACATACGGTCTCTTTAAAGGAAGAATGTGTGACTTTTTGATCCAGTAGATGTCGCCCTTGAGCTCCAGCATGAAACCAAAACAAACTTCTGCTTGGCCACGCCTCCTCCATCCTGAAGCCTCCGCTCTCCTCCCGAGACACACCTCCAACCCCTCTCCACTCGAGTTCACATGAGAAGTTTAATGCAAGCGGCGGGCAAAATTGTCCTTTTGCTCGAGTTGCAATCACCTGTGTCCTGCATTGTTGTGTTAGCATGCTAATGTTAGCGCTCTTTAGTTAGCTCGTAGCTTCACATTGTTGTGTTAGCATGCTAATGTTAGCGTTCTTTAGTTAGCTCGTAGCTTCACATTGTTGTGTTAGCATGCTAATGTTAGCGCATTTACACAGGAGAGACTGGATTTATGATTTATTTGTGTGTAAAATGTCGCACATTCTTCCTTTAAGAAAGCTTTTTGTGATACATTAAATTAAGAAAGTTGTTTTACCAGGACTCTCACTGAAATGACTAAATGTATGTTCTTTGATGTGATTTGGACTTTCAAACTAACAAAAACTCTCTTTTTTTTTACTGATTATTAAATACTGATTACTTAAAGGCGTAGTATGTAAATTCCACCAGCAGGGGGCTCTCAATCAAAACAGTAACAAACGATGACGTTGAGTGGAGGGGAATCATGGGAGTTCCTTTGCTACTCCATCCCCACCCCCGATGAAAACGAACTCTGAGTTGATCGTATAGTCCGAGTGCGTAAAATGTCTGGACGTTGGTCTGGTAGTTGGAGAAGTGCCAGTTCACTTCCGGACTACTGCAGAGGAGCGGCCAGTGAAAAACTGAATTTCCCCTCGCATGATTAATAAAGTATAGCGTCTTCTTCTTCTAAAAACTTTGGAAACATACTGAAGGAGCTGCGTCAGTCTGAACCCAAGGCAAAGATTTAAACTTCACCTTCTTTATTCAAACCTTGCTCTTTACTCAGTGCTAAAGTTGATCCTTTCATTGACGCGCCGCTCTTTTATATGGTAGTTCTTGAGGTTACTCCCAAGGTTAACAGCTTGAGGTTAATGGCGAACCTAAAAAGGGAGAAAATGAAATGTTCTCAGTTCCTTTTCATTTCCTCAAATCCCCCCAAGGACATCTATGTTTGACGTAATCGCACCAATCAGCGGCTCTGCAGGCTAGATTTTTCGCAGCACATAAATTAATTCACATTTCTCAAGGACTGCTAAAGAAAAATTTGCTTAAAAAGGGTGAAAGAGGCAATTATGCTGGCTTTTGAACTATTAACAAGCCGAGCCCATTGGTTTAATGTGACCGTTTACGAGGTCCTGCTACACTTTAAATCAAAAAGCTGTATTAATAAGGACAAAGGAAGAAAAAATGTGATCACTTGTTTTTAGTGCTAAATCGTATAACAAACAGATTACTGATCAAATAAAGAGGACTGCACACATCAACATAGTGTTTTTATTGAAGTGTTTCTATCGACTGTTAGCACAATTAAAGCTAAGCTCACAGAGTTGAATATTTACTGCATGACTAAATGATGTATTAGTTCACAGTTTAAGTGCAAAAGTAGAAGAATAAGTATTTGGAGCTGTTTTTTTAATCTCTAAAACTGGCTGTGAATAGCTAAAAACCTGTTGTAACACATTCTGACTTCAGTTTTTTGGCATTTACACACAATCAAACGACCTTCAGAGCATGTAGCACCAGCATCTTTAACCATCAATGCATTCATCCAAAGAGTTATTAAAATAGTTTTCTCAACAACTTCAGAAAAACACCCATCTTAAGTACAGCAATGTGTATTTAATTGAACACGTAAAGGGGCGAGATCAATCCTCTTAGGTCCAGGGCCGTGTCTAGCGGGGCAACCAGTGGTGGCATGGGGCCCCCTTTGAAATCTTATTGGCCACCCCAAAATCCTTGACTATGATTGGCTATTTGCCCTGCCAGAGGTGGGACTTATGTTGACTTCCTCTACTCAGGCTGTGTTGTGCAACATGGCGCTCATAGTTTTCAGTGTGCAGATGTTTGTTTAAAGTTTTTAATGTAAATGTTGCAATCATCTTGTGTTTCTTAAAAGTCGATCCGTGCAGAAGCAGGGTAAATAAATGCTCTTCATTCATGTGTATGCACACACACTTAGGTCTATGAACACGGTTGGTCTATTAAAGGCAGAATAAAGAATGGTTGACAAAGAGAACATTGGAAACTTTGGCTTTTTCCAATTGGCAGTTTATACGACTTTTTACAAAAATAAAAGCCTCTAAGCTTTTAAGATTTTAAAATAAATAAATAAATATTGAGCTGACTCCCCCCCAGTTTGTTTTCTAGAACTACATAGTCAAACATTTGGAGACAAATCAGTTTTTTATCATGATGGTACAAAAGCACAGATCATATCTTTGCATCAGTATTTACCTCCACTCCTAATGAACAGATCCTCAGAACACATTTAGAGTTTTACAATCAGGATTGTTGCACGGAGAAAATATGATTTAAAATCTTAATTTGCCAGTTAATACAAGGTGGAATATACATATTTCTACAATATGATGTGCAAACCCTTTTCTAAAATATGATCCTATCTTTTCTTATTAGTAGCATCAGGTGTCATTCCCAGAGCCAGCATTAGCAAACAATCCAATACAACAGCATGCATCAACCTGAGTTTATCCAATAATACACAACATCATCAGAGAGGAATATTTAAAGAAAATCCCCTATGGCATGAACAGCCAATGTTCTCATCCATATGGGTTGGTTATGGGTTAGTCTCAAATGCAAATCTAGCTCCCTCTTGTGGACAAGACTGGGATTGCACATCAACCCATCAGTTCCCCTTACATAAAAACAAAAACACTACAGAGTCTGCAGTGCATTATTATTCATCGCATTAGAAACATTAGTGCACCCTATGAGAGTTCATGTGTTAGTAAAATCACACTTACAGCACGCGGACACACGAGCACTCACTAAGCAGTGCGCACACACATTGCTCCGTATCGACTAAACAGTCAAACAGAGCGAAGTATAAATCAATAAATAAGAGCAGTGAATATCTGCTGCAAACTACTACAATACATGAGTCCTTAAGTTCTTGCAAAATATAGCTACACATTCTATATTAAAAACCAGCTTGACTGTAAATAGGACAAAATAACACAAAGTGTGTCACACTAATGACACCAATCTCTACTTATTATACTGTTTAACAGCACTTGCCTGCAATGGTGTTCCCTTGTAATTTCTTGTATAATGACGTCAGGCTGCTATTCAAGTTTTCTCGTTTCCACAAGTCTCTTTCCCCCGATGAGCTCGTCATGTAAACACAAATAAAAATGTCCTCACAATCACTGCACCGTGCGTCTCACAGCCCCGTAGCTTGTCAAAAAAAACAAAAAACAACCAACCTGAGCAGCTAAGTCTTTTTTCTTTGTTCATGCAACAAATTATAACATTGACTTTCTTGAAACTATCCGTCTGAAGGTTGTTTCTGTGTCCGGGCGTTTGGGACCGATCATTATGGCTTTGTGGCCTTGTTCTCCCTGGACGGTTGAACTGTACACTCACATGGATATCCTGTTTGGCTCCTAGTTAGTCGTCTCGAAGAACATGAAATCCTGCATAAAGGGAAACAGGTGTTAACAAGAAAGAAAATGTGTATAATAGAAATATTTAAAGGTCTCATATCCTCCTCCTCCTCTTCAAAAGGTGTAAATAAGTCTCAGAGCTCCCCAACACATGAGTGTGAAGTTTCTTGTTCTAAATCCACTCTGATCCTGTATTTGATCATGTCTATAAACCCCTCTATTTCAGCCCTGCTCAGAACAGGCTGTTTCTGTGTCTGTATCTTTAAATATGTCAATGAGCTGTGTCTGACCACGCCCCCTCTCTGGAAGTGCTTGGTGTACTCGGTGCTTTCTCGCTCCATGTCCTATTGTTTACGGTGAGAAGGCAGACTCAGAGGGCAGAACAAACACCTAGCTGTGGGAGTGTCACCCACCTGGGGGAGGGGCTACTGCCCTTTGTGATGTCATGAAGGGAAAATCTCCAAACGGCCTGTTTGAGCACACATTGTCTGAAAAGTGGAGCAGGCAGAAGATGGAGAGGATGGACTTTTCTCATCTTTGGAGGGTTTAAAGACGGACTAGAGACACATGTTAGAGTTAGAGGAACATGGGGAAGTGGATTTATGAATAATGTGACCTTTGATGCCTAGTCGCAGTAAACACATTTTACCTAAGGTGTAAAATGTTTTCACTGCAAAATTGACTGTGACTGAGATTTAATCATTTCAGGTTTTAGAAAAGTCTTCCTCAGAAAGTAGCTCTGAAAAGCTGGAGTGCATTTCTGGGTGGTTTTGGGTCACATTACCCACAAACTGTAGGCTCAGTGGTGCATTAAGTGGTAGCTACACGATATTTCCGACTACCCGTGCAGAGGAACATCACTCCCCATGAGAGCCAGGTCAAATGAGGCCACTGCATCTGCAACAGCCTTCACTTTGGTGAGGATCACTCTCACTAAGCTGTAAGAGAATCCCCCTCAAACATTAAAATAACACACACTCCTCTTTTACTCACAATTAGAAAACATGCACCGATCATCACAGCCTTCATCCTCACGTCCAGGTCCATGGGGAACTGGATCCCAAAGTTGTCTGTGTCCGTGAACGCTTCCCGAAGAAGTCCCGTCCACTGCTTGCTGATTTTCCCGATTTTACTGACTTCATCCAGCGTCAAAATCTGCAGAAAGAGTTTGTCTTGTTTAAAGTCTTTATTTGTGATTTTTCACACTTAAATATAATATAAATCAAGTCTATCCTCTGAAAATAACTCTGTGAGTCATGACTGTCTACAATGGGTGTAACAGCCGAGTCCCACTGTCTGTGATGTTTTCAGAGTTTTCAGAGTCCTATCTTCAGTTTGTTTACATCGCCAGGACGGCCGGCTGACTCCTCCCCTCGTGTATAAAAGTTGTTTAATTGAGGGACTAGAGAAAAGAAGAATAACATACTGTACTCACTGCTTAACTGTGTTTCTAGATCACGCTCATTTCAGGTAAATTTACATGCAGTGTGAAGATACCAGCATAATAAAGATCGCTAGCATTAGCATGCTAACACAACAATGCAGCACGAGCTGTTTTGGTTTCATGCTGGTGCTCAAGGACGACATCTGCTGGATCAAAAAATCACATATAAAGCCTTTAAATGTACACAGAGTAAATAGATTGTTTACTCATATATATCAAGCGAAGTCAACAACCAAACACAGGGAGCACACTTTTTATGTATATTTATTTTGATGTCATTGTCGTTGCGATGTTTTGTAAACAAGTAACTGAGTCGACTATCAGTTACTTTTTTATTGCTAGTATTTCTTGTATTTCTAAATATGCTTTCACAATGATTTATGTATGAATGACTCATGTATTATGTCTAAGACATTTTTTAATTTGACTGTTTATCTAACATGAATTTTGACTTCCTTGCTTCATACTGTATCTACTTCGGTCCCAGTTGTGGACTCTGAGGTTGAACCATGGGCAGCAGGGTTTTTGTTTGTTTATTTGTTGTTGCTTATTTATATACTAGTGTGATTGTTTTTTAAGTGGGATGGTTTACATACCCATGACATATGAATTTGGACTGGTGTTTTGATGTTACTGGTTTGTTTGATTGTTTTGTTTTTGTTTTTATAGTTTGCTTTACATATGTCTTTTTCATTTTGTCACATTGGTGTTTTTACTTTTGGAAAAATAAAGTACAAAAAAAAAAGAAAAAGAGTTGGAAGAGAAGAGAAATGCGGACATGTGTTGCATTTGGATAACGATCACTCCCTTTAAAAAACAGTTTGGTTTCATTGGAGGGAGATCAGGGAACAACTCATCATCCTGTCCGTTTGCAGCGCTCACAGAAACTGTTTGGATCCTCAGTGAGGACTTCAAAGCTGCTAAGGATGAACAGAGACGGTAATATCATGCTTCAGTTGCCCATCCTCTGGATCTTGAGAAAAGGTCTGTGTCACTGACCCACATCCCCCCTTCACAGCTCAGATCTAATAAAAGCAGCTGAGCCGTGGAACAATGTCCACACTGTACCACAGCATTGCCCTGTGCGACGGCTTCATCCGAGCGCCCGGCCTCGCTCTGATTGGAAACATATTTTCCTGCCTCAGAGCTTGAGGAGGATCCCTTTACACAGAAATGTCCAGAAGGCGAGAATTGTAAGCGTGTCCCGTTATGTTTTCACAAATTTTTAATGGATCCCTGTGTTTAGATAAACCCACCTCAAAGTCGACATCTGGAAGGCAGCTCCATCCACAGAAGGGCCCGTGGATCCTCAGCACAGGCTCTCTGTGTTCGTTGGCTATGATGAACTTGGGTGAGAACGGGTGCCACTGCTGTATAACGTACCCCACTGTGTTACCTGGGGGGGCCTGGATCTCCAGCTGAGTGAAGGATTGTGGGAGAACAAGAGTGTGATTTGTAGTCATATCCTCAGCAGAATGTGTATTTTTAAAGAAACATAAAAACTAGAAACAGCTGGACCTCAGTATGAGGAAACATAACGCGCAGATCTAAAGAGAGCTGCAGCCTCACCTCTTGTAGACAACACGGGAAGAAGCAGGACATGCACTTCAGCGGCCTGGTGACGGTGATGACCTCTTGTCCGAAGTTATCGAGCACATGGATGGTGAACGAGCGCATGGGGCCGCAGCACTGTCGGCTCAGACAGTCGTTCTCCTCCACGGCGTAGAAAACGTTTTGGCCCATGCTGTTGCGCACTTCATATTTGTTGTTGCTCTCGAAACCAACGAGGGCTGCACAAAGAAACAGGAAGAGGCATCGCTCAACGACTCAAACTTTATTTATATCGCACTATTCGTACAGAATGCAGCATGCAGCCCAAAGTGGACGACAGAATCCTAAAAGTCTAAGTCACACTTCACTTATTTGCACGATCTCTCTCTCATATATATATATATATATATATATATATATATATTTGTTTACCTAATCAGTCACTGCAAAACAATAACTTTATATATTCTTTCAGTCACCACAACTGTCTATTTATTTATTCATTATTATCATTCATTCACTGAACAGCAATTTCTCTGGCCACTTTTTGCATATTTCTCTTTCATATCACCACAAATATATTTTTTGTTGTTGTTTTTGTAAATGCTGCTGTTTAGGATTGCTGCTAACAAAGTTTTGTTGTGTCCTTGTATACAATGATAATAAAGAGTCTATCTTTCTATCTAAAACAGGAAGTGATCAAATAATTAAAAAATAAAATGAATACAGTAAGAAATAATCAAATATGTAGGAATGAGTTCATAAAAAAAACTGTAAGATTACTCCAAAATAAAAGCCAGAATAAAAAGGTCTTGAGTTTTATTTTGAAAAGCACGCAAAGAGCTCGCCGTTCTGATGTCCAGAGGCAGCGACCTCCAGAGTCCAGGAGCATAATAACAGAACAGCTCTCAGCCCGGGGCTCGTGTGGGTCACATGAGGGACATTCAGAAGGGAAGTAGACCCTCCAAACAGACCTCAACACCCCGAAACAAAAGTAAAGGTCTACACATTCTGATGGACTGTACCTTCAACCAGCTCGACCTTCTGTTTGATCAGGAGCTGATCCACCTGGAGAAGAAGATAATCACATACAGTACAGAGGATTAACATGTGATGTATGCATTTGTAATTTCATGATAAAACTTTACATTAAATGCTTATCAGGTGAATGTATGTGTCTGTCTCACCTGGGTGAGGTACTCTAACCCCGGTGGGCAGCCTGGTATCTCAGGGTTGGCCACAGCATACATATTCATGGTTGCTAAACCCAAAAGGAAACCTGTTGATAAAATGAAATGTTGAAATGAAAGAAACAGCGCCATCTTGTGCTTCTTCAGAAAACACTCATAAACAAATGGAGATCAAATTCGGGCGGGTTTAAAAAAAGCATCTCTAGGCTTCTTGTTGTTGCTGTATTGTTTAGGTCCTCCTTTATATTTATATTTACATCCCCTCTGCTGCAGAGTTGGAGACCCTGATGAGGTGTAAACAGCCTGGAAGGGGGAGGAGGGGGGAGGAGGGGGGCGGATTCAGACCTACATGGTGGGTGACACAGATACTAATCTTTGCCTGTATCTGGAAGTGACGAGCTCCTGACGGGAATACAGCAGCAGGTCCCCTCACTACCCGGGTAAAGCAGGGCGATCCGCTAACCCGAGCCGAGCCGAGCCGAGCAGGTTTAATAAACTGACCATGTCCGCGCGGATCACGATATTTTAAATGTTCTGTTTACTGCCCGTCAGCTGGTGAACACAGCAAGCCTACGTCTGCACGCCGACGTCTGTTTTCTTATCGACCTACTTTTCCATTCTTAGAAAAAAAAAAAAAAAACGAGCACTACTTCTTCTTCTTCTTCTCTAAACCTCCTGAAACATCCAAACAGCTTCACACACACAGTCTGTTCATCTACTCACCAGATATTTCACCTGCTACTTACAATAATACCAGGCCACTCCGGAACCAGCCCTATGGAATAAACCTTTAATCTCATTGGTCGACGTCATCGCACTTCCCATAATCCCGCGCCAATGACGAGCCGGTAGTATAGAAGAGCAACAAACAGAACGGAGCTCCAAAGACCAGAAGAAAATGTGTCAGAATCTCTCACTCTTAATGTGTTTTTATCTTTTATTTGTATTTAAATCTAAATAATATATATTTTTCAGAGCGTCCTGGTGGAGACAGGAAGCAGCACGATGTTCAGAGTTTCACACAAACAACCAGCAGCCACACATGAACATGATTAGACATTAAAAGACACTAAACAACAAATGTAAAGAGCCATTGTTCATCAAGGTCATCAACCACATCAGGTAGAACATCTGCAGCCAGATGTGTCATTTAACATCCTCTTAAAATCATCCAATCAGAAAAGCTCAGCTCTTTTTGTGATTGGTTCAGAGTAAAGGGTGCAGCAAACTCAAACGCCTTTTACCCCGGTTCAGTTCTGACTTTAGGAACAGACAGTAAGAAAAGGTCCGAGGATCTAAGATTGTATTTATTGCCAATTTGCTAAATTAAACTTCCTGCACAGTGTTGGTTCACTGAATTTATGGCAGTACTTTTTTTTTTTAATACTTTGTTTTTACATTTTTCAAAGAGTTGCTTCACTCATGTGGTCATTTAATTTCAACAATCATGTTTTCAACTTAAGATGTTGAATGAATCAAAAAAATAAACTACCGCCAAGAAAAGAAGCAGCAACATCTTTAGAAATGAATACAGACATACACACACATCAAAACAATGAAATAAGAGAGAGAAAAAATGAAATAAATATAAATATATATAATAAAAAAAATACAAAAACAAATAATAATAAAATAAAATTAATATAAATATATATAATTAAAAAAAATAAAGTAAAAAAAATAGAAAACAAACATTCAAAAATAAGAGATAAGGGGACAGTAATTTACTTTTTTACCCATAACTATCTGATGTGATTGTATATTGTGAGAGTTTAAGACTTGAGGTCTGTGTCGCTGTCTGCTTATTTATTTGTTTTTTTGGTCAGATGTGGTCTTTGTTGTATTTGCTGCAGAACAGGAATTTACTGTGAACCAGTTTGAACTGAGTCAGGCCCCGTTTTACTCTAACGCCTGTAATGTGTGGTAGGACTCGAAATCTGTCTTTTTTGAAAGTCTCGGCCTCGTCTCGGAATGATCAAGACTGATCATTTTTGATCAGTCTTGTCTCGGTCTCAAATTGGGCAGACTCTAGATTCTAAATCAAGACCGGTCAAGACCACCACTGAAGGGCTACTTTTCCACGTCAGTACTGGGATTAGAAGTTAGCGAGTAAGCATAATCGACACGCACACAAAATGATGATTTTTCAGTGATATTTATGTCTTGGTCTTGATCTGAACTCTGTCTCTATCTCTTTATGTCTTGGTCTTGATCTGAACTCTGTCTCTATCTCTTTATGTCTTGGTCTTGATCTGAACTCCGTCTCTATCTCTTTATGGTCTTGGTCTTGATCTGAACTCTGTCTCTATCTCTTTATGTCTTGGTCTTGATCTGAACTCTGTCTCTATCTCTTTATGTCTTGGTCTTGTCTGCTTAAAAAAGCGCTTCACAGACTTTTTGACACAATTTTTCTTCCAGGCTACACCTTCATGACCCACTGAAAACAGCTCCGCGACCTACTTTTGGGTCCCGACCCACCAGCTGTGAACCACTGCGCTAGGCAATCTGCACCCCATAATTTAAACTTAATAAAGAATATGTCACTACAAGATATTTGAGAAATATTCACACACTTCATGTTTACTTTTGGACGACGTGCCAGATCTCCTGAAACGACTGCATGCTGCAGCACTCACCCTGTAGAAAAGTCTTGTATCAAGGACTGAATGTGTTTAAATATATACTTTACCAGCTTTAATGTAGATCACACACTTGACTGATGAAGACAGATTATGATCTGTATATGTGCACATAACTATTAGCATACAAAGAGACCTTAAACAGGCATCAAGGCCGACCTTAAGACAAACCCAAACCCACAACCACAGTGTTTATCTGTGCAGGTTTGAAGACGCATGTGGCATACACAGACATGCATTCAGAAACAACACATATGTGGAATGTGCTCACATACAGTATGGATGCATGAATGCTCTTAAAGAATGGCACTGCTCCTATGTTGAAGTTATATTTATGCTCTCAGATGTCGTGCAGTTACAGCATTACATCTTCTGTGTTGGAGTAAATTGCATGTTATGAGAGACAGTAGTTTGGTCTCTCTACAATGCAGTGGGAGAATAATTGTTAGCAGCTGCAGCCACAGAGCTGTGCTTCATGCACTCGATCGGCTGCACACACAGGCAGACGTACTATAGGGGTGTGTGTGTGATCACATTTGGGATTGTGCAGGTACAGCATCCAACACGGAGAGAAAAGAAAGAACAAGCAGAAACCTCTGATGCTGAGAAATGAAGCTGATGCAGAAGTGAAAGGAGGCCGACTTTTTACTTCTACACCACATTTATAAAAATAGCCTCGTTACTCCTATTTCATTTTGGCTTGTTTTCATTCCGGCTTGTCATCGTTAAAAAAACACACACAAAAAAAAACCTATCCAGATAAATCAAAAGAGTGAATTTGATTGTGGTTGGATTAGAAGTATAAACATATACCATTCCGACACGCTGTGGCGCGGCCTAAGCTTTTGTCCCCTTACATTACTTTTACTTTTATACTTTAAGTAGTTTTGAAACCAGTACTTTTACACTTTTACTTGAGTAAAAAGCTTGAGTTGATACTTCAACTTCTACAGAAGTCTTTTTAAACCCTAGTATCTATACTTCTACCTGAGTAATGAATGTCAATACTTTTGACACCTCTGGACCTGACTTAAAACAAATTAATTTCTGCTCAAAACTGTATGAGGCTACATGGTGGTGCAGGGGTTAGTGCTGTTGGCTCACAGTGAGGAGGTTCCTGGTTTGAATCCCCATCAGGAGCCTCTCTGTGAGGAGTTTGCATGTTCTCCCCAAATAAAGATTGATAAAAGCTGTGTGTGTGTGCATGTGTGCATGTGTGTGTGTTGGATGTCTGGGGTCACCAAAGTTTTGTAAGAGTGGAGTCACTAGCCCAAAAACGTTGGGAACCACTGGACCACAGCTTCTCTACATCGGTAGTGCACCCCCTGTTTTTTTACACTTTAAAGGGGCTGAGAAAAGTTTTTAAAATCAAGAAGAAATCCATCTCTAAGTGAAGTTTCTTTGATGCTCACGATACTAACAATAAGACGCTGTTGGATCATAACAGTTGAAATTAAGTCATACTGTGACATCACCTCAGGCAGCATTAAAACCTTTACACACACACACACACACACGCACACGCACACGCACACGCACACGCACACACACACACACACACACACACACACACACACACACACACACACACACACACACACACAGATGAGTTACGCTTGAACTTTCTGAGAGTGTTATTACACTCTGTGTCCACTGGAGAGCAGTGTTGAGCTAATGATGCTCAGCCTCATGGCCATTACTGAGACTAATGCACAAATGGCCTTTTTCATTGTGAAACAAAACAGCCACAAATATACACACACATGCTAAAAATACACACAGTACACACACACACTCACACACACAGGAGTACACTTACTACTCTGTTACAAACGACGTGACGTTGGTGGGTCGAGGATCCTTATTTGCAAATACAAATTACCTGATTTCCTCAAGCGCTGCTGATTTCTCTGAGAAACACTAATGAGAACAAATGACGACCGGGCGCACAGGTCTGCTGACACTTCAGGCACGGACGACAAAAAAAACATGTTTTAATTGATTCACGTTTCGGTAATTGCCTTTAGTGACCCGACAAAAAGCCTCCAAAAAAAGCACAGCAACAGAAAAACATGCTTTGTTATATTTGCTGTACAAAAAGACAGAAAAGCTATTCGTTTAATTTTTTTTTTAGCAGTATTGTTTAAATTGTAGGTGTGAAATGGAGCTGTTATATGGATCAAAGGGCTATTGCCCCCCCCCCCCCCAAACCAGATCTTCAACTTATGTCCTCCGTCAGAGGGATCAAAACAAAGTAATGCAATGACTTTGAAATGGTGGCGTTCTGCGCTCCCATCTGAATAAACACAGCGGTCAGTCAGGGGGTCTTTGAACACCAGCCTGGGTTGTCTTTTGGACTCCAAGAACCCAGTCCCTCCCACCGGGGGGGTTTTGTTTGTGTGTGTGTCTGTGCACACACTGTACTCTCACTACATTCTTACCTGTTTTACAATTTCTCTGTGTTTGTGTTTTTTTGTGAAGGTGGTGCTCTTTACCCGCTCCGGTAATCTTTCCTGCACTCCTAACGAGGTTGTCATATCGGGGGCGCGTAATGAGGAGCCTAAAGATGAATGTAAAAACGCCTCCATTACACCGCTTTCATCCTTGTGTTCATTAGGTTAGCATAAGGTTACAATACATTACACCAGTCCCAATGTTCTGCACACAGGATTGCACATGTCACTGAGAGGTTGTGTGTGTGTGTGTGTGTGTGTGAGTTTGCTCTGATGATAGTCATTCACACAAACACACAAACACACACAGGCATGCTAAGTGTACCTACTCTAAGTTCACCCTGATTCTTCACCCTAATCTGACTTTTTTTTTTTTTTGTAGTTTTGTTTGGAAAATGTCCGACTCTGAAAACTAACACACACATCACATTCACACACACACATAAAGACATCTATTGTGCATGTTTTCATCATCTCTCTTTTGTTATTCTGTCTCTGTCTCCTCTCACCTCTGCCCATCCCTCACCTCCCTCTTTTTTTTTCTTTTTTTTATTTCTCCCATTTCTGCACCCCTGTCAAGCGCTTTGTTTGCTTGTGACTTTCCATGCGGTTATCTGAGCGCAGACAGTATGCCTCGCCCTGGCACAGGACCTCAGTTTCCACGGCAACTTTATAATT